AAAAACTTTCCAAAATTTTCATGAAAAAAATTTCCAAAAATTTTGAACTGACGCAGCGTATAAACTTTTGAAAATTTTGAAAATCAGCGCCATCTGTTCAGTGCAACATAAACAATTATTCATCATTTGCTTTTCATATAAGCTGTTACGCAAATTATTTCTCTCTGTGATTGCTCGTGTAAATAGAAAATTCCACTCGCTTATAAAAGAAAAGAATGAATGAATGAATGGTTTCGTTCATCACTGAAAACTTGGAAGCAAAATAAAAAAAAAAACGTTTTTTTTTGTTTTAAAATTTTTGAAAATCAATTTTTTTTCAATCATTCAAAATGGCCGGATCTTATCTGGAACAATTTGTTGAAAGTATGATTCGTTTTTTTATGAATTTATGAATTTGATTGCTAATATTGTTCTCCCAAAAAACAAAGGTATACAATCATTACCATGTGATTTGGCTCGAAATCTAAGATTAATCAATTTTCTGGATACTCGTGTACATGGTATTGATTTTTTTGTTTGTTTTGTTTATTTAATTCTTGTTTGGCTTGGTAACAAATTCTAATTACAATTAATTTCTATATATGTTGATGATGATGATGATTAGAATTTGTTGATTCGGCTGAAGATCTTTCGAATAAATATGTTAAAGATGCTAATCAATTATCATCGAATGAAAGAAATGAATATTTTAATCAAATAATGGAATATATGGATAAAGCACAACATTTGACTGATGAAAAAAAAGAATTAGCTCATCAAATTTATAATATGGTTGATAAACATATCCGACGTTTGGATACTGAATTGGCTAAATTTGACATTGAACTAGATAGCCAAGGTGATGATCCAAAAGATAATCTACCATCATCAAATAGTACGAATCAAACGAATACAACACTGAATAAAAAGAAACGTACAAAATCATTGTCAGCATCAGCAGCAACAACAGCGACAGCAACATCATCGTTATCATCATCATCATCATCAACGACAACATCAAATACAAAAGAATCAAAATCATCTACACAAAAACATAGTAATAATAATGATCATCATAATCATCATCATTCAGATACGGAAAATATACCAAAAAAACGACAAGCTATCGATAATCAATTATTAACAACAACAATGAATGGATTAACAACAAAAGGCAAAATGATTACATCAACCGAATTAATGGATATGGAAGTTGATCCAAGTAAATCCAATTATTTAATTTAATTAATTATTTTTTAAACTAATTAATAATCATTTTCTCATAGATGAACCATTATATTGTATTTGTCATCAGGTTTCATTCGGTGAAATGGTCGGATGTGATGATCCAGATTGTGTATGTGAATTTGTACATTTATTTAGAAAAACTTGTATTAATGATTTTCCCCCTTTTTTCTTCCTTTTCTCCATTTCAAACCTATAGCAAATTGAATGGTTTCATTTTGCATGTGTTGGTCTAACATCAAAACCAAAAGGAAAATGGTATTGTCCACAATGTACAATCAAACGAAAAAAATGAATGATTGAATATTCAAACGATTGTTTTTCAATTTTGAATGAATAACTTCATTTACCACCGTGTTTACCATATAAATAATCAATGAATAATGACAAATTCTATATAAAATAGATGTGCTTGAATTAAAATCGAATGATTGAAACAAAATTTAAAAAAAAAAAATATTTTCAATTCAAACGAAATGTGTGAAAAAAAAATTTTTTCACTTGTTAAAAACATATGGACATTTCCTGTATTGAGTAAACAAGAGAATAAGACTGAATGAATGAATGAAAGGGAAAGTGAATGAGAAATGAGAAGAGAAAAGATCAAATGAACATCATCAAATGTCAAAAGTTTCATGATGATAATAAGGATTGTGCCAAATAAATTTGACCTCAATAAATTGGGTTATAATTTTTTGTTTTGTTTTGTTTTGTCTTATATAGATTGGCCGTCATTATGATGATGGTTGATGATGGTTGATGATGGCAACAACAACGATCATTACGATCTTGATGAACAACAGATCATCAGATCGGATGTCATTATGTGAAAGAAGAAGAAGAAAAAAAGTGGCTTTTTTGCTTAATTCAGCTTGAAGCAGAAATTTAAATTGTTATATTTTTTTGGCCCCAAGGATTTTTTTTCAATCCCAGTTTTGTTCCGGTTTTTTTTCTGCTTAGCCACCCTTTATAATATCGAACGATTTCGCAGAAAAATTCAGATTAAATATCAAAAAGTGCGTGTGAATGTGTGGAGTGAGGAAGAGAACGAGAAAGAAGATATCCAAATTTCGAGGAAGTAAATCATCCAAAAAAAAAGAGAGACTTTGAAACTTGAAATGATCAATCAGACTTTTAAATTTGTTTTTCATTTTTTTTCAATGTTTAAAAAGAGACCGAAAAAGAGAAAAAAGTTTGATCATCTTGGATGATTTTTCTTATTCAAATTACTCACTTGACTAATTGT